TCTTTGGTAACATTCGCTGCCATCTCTTTTTCATCCCAGGGAGTGGAAGTCTCCGGCCTGAATGAAAGATTTTACATCACATACAAGTGGTGCACTCCAAGTTAAATGTTGAATTTTTTTATGCCTCTAGGTTACCTGGCAGTAATGAAAGTTATATTTGGTGGATCTGTAAAAGCGTCATTCATAAAGGAAGTAATTCAGCAAGTCCGTTGTGAAAGAAATTACTGCTGGCCAAGTTACTCAAGCGTTTTTATTTGAAGGACCATGTATATAAAGGTATCACAGCAGAATCTACGTATTATTCAAAAGACGTGAATCTCCAGGTTCATTGAAACGTCAGGGTATACTGTGAAGACAGTAATAAATAATACTGATAACAATATATCACCTCCCTGGTGAAACCCATTTTTGTTTCTTCAAGCAACTAGCTTCAGGCTTACTTAGAGTAACCGATAAATCTCCAGTAACCAAAAAGCAGGTATTCGCCCGAACTGCTATCACAGAGGGTATTCACTCTCCATGGGATTTCGGCAATGGCCTACTGAAGGTCAAAAACCTGAGATGTTCTAGGCAGAACAAAGCACTGCCTACACCAACGGCATCCACCTCAAGTCTTGGAGCCGTACCAGAGACAGCAGCCAATGGACAACATAAGGAATGGGTAAGGGCGGAGAAAGAAGCTGGAATCACGCGTGAAAACGCACCTATAGGATTGGATAGTGTTTGCATCACTGACCGATCTAGCAACGTCATTCTGTGTAACGTTCCTGTCTGTGATGATAGCCCTCTGGAGCATAAGGACAAGTTTGACAGGCAGCGGTGGAACTCCCCTTGTGCCATGCTAGGTCTGGGCGTCCTCGAGGCAAAACTGTATCGACTGTACGAAGGCACCCACTCACCCACAAGGAAGCCTCCGCCAATGAGAGTGACCCTAGGCTCAACTAGAGATGCTGAAAAGTTCCTCTTGCCGTCACACACCCTGGCTATCAACAGATCATCCAACAATAGAGCCAGACCTGACCTATCATGGGTGTCGAGAAAGATGTTTCGAGAGGCAGCAAACGTAGTCGCACACGGAGTACCTGAAATGGTGGCCGGTACCCCAGGTAATAAGTACACCCATGACGTCCGACAATGGGAGTGGTTATCAGCTAGGATGGAGCTGAGTGGGGTTGCAGATGCGGTAATTAGCGGACCGCCATGCTCCTCACGTCTGACAACCATAACCTCACCTAGACTACTGGCCATCAACTTCGAATCCCAGAAGTACTCACCTGAGTGCTGGAGACGTGGTACAAGGTCAACAGCACTATAGGCGGTAACGTCCGCTGCCGTGAAAGCAGACCGAGAACACCATGACAACAACAGACAGCAGTCACTCCCCTTGCTCAGGCCACCGTAACCCCAAACCGAAACGTTGAGAGTCGGACCAGCAACCTCCACCCAACAAAGAGTGCACCAATCGACCCATCGGATCCATTGAAACTGGCCAGTCAGTAGGAACCCTCACATCCAAACCTGTGCCACCAGTTAACCCAGAGACATCTCACGTTACAAGAAGCACCTCCAAGTGTCTCTACAGCAACCTGAGGGGACTCTGAAGTGAAGCATCAGAGCTCCGATCCCTCTGTCTCGAAAATCACGATCCGGACAGAAACACTGTTGTCGCCAGACACAAGTAACACCGAAGTCAACATAGACGACATGATTCTGTTCAGAAGAGAGAGAGAACATACGGACGGAGGGGGTTGCAATATACGTGAACAAGTGGTTCAGAAGTGAACAAATCACTGACACGGTACTGACAAAGCTCCCAGACTACATGGTATTGCTTCACGGTCAAACATCAAATTCCTGGTTGGAGGAATCTGTACGTCCCCTAATAGCAACTTGGAACACAACCAAAAACCACTCCGGCTTGTATCCACGTTGTTAACCATAGGGTACAACCCGATTCTAACAGCTGGCGACTTCAACGCTCAAACCCTTCGCCTAGAGCAAGGTGGCACGACCCCAAGCCGGAAGTTCAACTGTAACCGGCTAAGTGCCATCCAAAAGGCTAGACTGCAGGAAAAAATCGGCGAAAACACCCGCTGGGGGTCAGATGGTAGACCATGTAAACTAGATTACCTGCTGACTAGTGATCCCCTTCTGGTTAAAAATGTTCAGGTACAAACTCCCTTTGCAAGTAGCGATCACACTACGGTAGTGTTCGGCCTGGTAATCAGCGAAAAATTATCATGGGAGGGACCTCGAACTCACCCCTGTTACAACAGGACAAACTACGACAGTATGAACAGCAGCCTATGAAGAGCTCCGTGGCCAGCGGGTTGGTGTTCCTTATCGGCCGACCAGCACTGGGAACTGGTAAAAGATACCATTGAGGTGGCCATCAAAACGTAAAACTTCCCTTTGGCGATAACAACAACCAGAAAGCGAACCTTATGGCTAAAACGAGGCACTGGGCGCCTTCTTAAAGCCAAGAGAAGGGCATGGCACACATGGAGACCTTCCAGAGAAAAGGACGACCATTATGCATACATGATTCTAAGGAACCGAAGCAACATCAGAGTGCGGGGGATAGGGGGTCTTTCCAGTCCAACCTCGCCAAGAGGCTCGGGGTAAACCCCAAAAACCTACACCGATTCGTGGCAAAGAGAAAATCGACAAGCCAAGAAGCATGCTTCATAACAGGTCCGAACGGAGAAAACTTATCTGGACGGGAGATCGCCGAAGTGTTGAGCCCCATGTTAGACACACAGCTCAACATTCCATCAGGAAAGTACGCATACCAACTGCACGAACAGCCCCAACGTTACCCCATGCTACTGAATTACACGAAATACAGGTAACCCATACTATTGTTCCCAACAAGCTAGTAAAGCTAAGCACCGGAAAATCCCCAGGGTGCGACTACATCCACCCATCTGTGTTGAAAGAATGTGCAAGTACGCTAATTGACCCACTCTTTATTCTCTTCCAACACTTTGGATGAACAGAAGCTCCGACGAGAGTGGAAACGGGCTATCTTCTCTTCCATCTTCAAAGGAGGAGATAGGCAGAATCCCAACTGTTTTAAACCCATAGCGCTTCTATCAGTAAGTCAGAAGCTATGGAAGGTGTGATGGATGACCGCATCAGGGAATATCTGGACAAGAAACAACCACTCAGTGACGCTCAGCATGGCTTCCGGAAGGGTGGGTCCTGTGCCTCCAACCTCCTGACAGCCCATGATCACTGGGCAGCATACTGGGACCTCGAGGCTCCGGTCCGCGCAATTTTCCTGGACTTCGCCAAAGCCTTTGACACCATCTCACACACGATCCTAATGCATGATATAGCTCGGTTAGGTATGCGCAGCCGGGTGCTGTCGTGGCTGCAGAACTACTTAGACAACAGGGAGTTCTGCACGAAACTTAATAGGGTCTACTCAACTTGGAGAACAATCGCACCCAGGGTCTCATAAGGAGCAATCCTGGGCCCACTGTTGTTCATACTGTTCTTGAATGGCCTGCAGCAACATATCGTCTCCCCGATTCTCATATTTGCTGATGCATCAGCGTATGTCAAGTTATGGAGGGCAATAACTTGAGAAGCGGAATCTATGGCATTATAGAACAACCTCAAAGCACTAGAAGAATGAGAAAGTAATAACGAACTGGCGTTTAACCCGGATAAGTGCCGGTCCATGATTTTCAGCACTCCTGATCCCCAGAAAGTATCCTACCATCTCTGTGGTTCACGTCTATCCCATACCACAGCAGAAAAAGACCTGGGTTTGACTGTGGTGGAGAAACTGGACACCAGTTCCAGTTACCCAGGTGACGTCTCAAAAGCATATGGGGTACTACACTTTGTGCGTAGACAACTGGGTGCCCTCACCCTAGAACTCTTTTTGAAGCTCCACAAGACTTACGTACGGTCCCACTTAGAGGTCCATAACGTCTTCGCCCCACCACAGCTGAAAAGAGGCGCGAACTTACTGAAGAAAGTCCAGAGGAGAGCCACGAAAGGGGTTTCTGGAATGCAACGAAAACTATGTGAGGAAAGACTGAAAGGCCTAGGCCTGTACTCTCTAAGCTATTGAAGGATACGTGGCGACTTAATAATGGCTTACAAAATAATGAGCAACCCAAGTCACCCAAACAGAGGAGTTCTACCGAGTGGCCACTACGGAGATCCTCGAGGAAACCCCACTAGAATAGCCCACCAAAGGTCAAAAACGCATGTGCGTTCACAGTTCTTCTCCCTCCGAGTCTGCGGGTACTGGAACGCAGTACTAGCAGAGGTGGTCTCCGCTTAACTATTGAAAGCTTCGAGAAGAGTCTAGACAGTCATGCAGAGACTCACTGCCTACCCACACCTAGCTGGAAAACGGAGTTATGTCAAGCCACCCCAACCAGTTTTCTTTCTACTGTATCCATTTAAGCCCTTTTCACCCCTTCTGCTTGCCATAAGTTAGCCTCACTTACCTAAGTTCTTCATACCTTTGCACCCCTACTCACCTTCTTTGGGTGTAAGTAGATTACTCCATTAGTTCACTTTTCCTCTCTTCTTTTACCCACACAAACAATTTCTAGGTTTTCTCTTCACTATCCCCAATCCTCCGTAGCGACCGGTCCTAACAGCTGTCTGGCAACTTGACATCTGAAGAAGCCAACTGCACCAGAGTTCAAGGCAAACAAACCAACACTTAACTTCCTGTTCTGTAAATCAGAGCTACAGCAGACGAGTGGCGGGACCTACTGCATCGGAATCCACCAAAAGATCAGGAGTCGTTCCGCAACACCAAGAAGCGAGCGCGAAGAAATCAGTTAGTTTACACTAGCTAGTTAAAAGATATTGGATATTGGACCTCCTGTTCTGTAAATCAGAGCTACAGCAGAAGAGTGGCTGGATCTACTGCATCGGAATCCACCAAAGATCTGGAACCATTCCGCAACACCAAGAAACAAGCAAGAAGAAACCAACTGGTTTATACAAGGTCACCGAAAAGATGTCGGATATACTGGACAGTGAACGTTTCGCGCGTTTTCCAGATTTACAATAGTTTCCTTGAGGTATGTTGTGTTATCGTGTCTACCCGACACTCCTTTGGCCCATGAAGCCCAAATTATTTTGCATTCATTAGTTACACAAAAACTGTAGCTCCATTAGTTTTCTTAGTGAAATTTTTTCGGTACACATCTCTTTTCAATGCTACAGTTTTTGTTATTAACATATGCTAATCATGGTCCATAGATAAATATCTATGGGCCATGATTTAGTCGTTATGACCTCCAGAACTGATTGACTTTTAGTACTATGGCTGATCATGAGTTTCAGTGGTGTTCACCTTCCCGAGGCTTCAAATTGTTACCGTCGGTGATAGTTCGGAGATTAAAAGACTCGAAACATGTCTCTGATTAGTCGTGTGTTCACAAAAGATTAAAAGCGAAGACTTAACCAGAGCATAGCTTGGAAAATATGCCTCTCTTGAGGCCTATGATGAATGGTCGTAGTTAGGACATAATCGATTTCCAGATAATCATAAGTGGCTGAACGTTCCTATTATGTCACAGGTATCATGATTGCTAGAACAGTAGTGCTTAGATGTGTCGCTTTGCATTTGGCATTTTTATTTCATGAATAAGTGAGCGTTAGTGAGATTGTCTCCGGATTCGGAGAGTTTAGCCCGAAAGTTACAAAGTGCGATCGAAGTAAATGCTGGCTGGGGGAAATAATCAATGGAGGTTGACGTAAAGTTATTACTTCTGAAAAAATAACTTCAAACCCTGGGTATGTGCAGTAGCCATTGCGCAAAGTACCACAACTAGATGTGTTTGTATCCAGATTTGAGAACTGAAGTATTAATTGTTTGACTAACATCCACCCTCCGAACCTGACTGAAGTAGAGAATCCTATGACAGCTGAGCCTAGGTCTTGGAAATTTAAATCTAAGAAGGCAAGACTAGTGGTTGAGCTCCGGACATTGAGCAGCATTTAAAAACCGATGCTGATGCTGCGTTGATTGGTTTTGACCAGTATTTGATTTTCTTCATGAGGATGAACAAGAATCCATTTGTGATGCCTTAGCGAATCAACATTCTTATGCTACTGAAACTCAGTAGGTCGTTGTTACTCATTGTGTAACTGTAGCTCAGGTTAGTAGGTGCGAGGAAATCAGAGTGGCTCAGCAACAAGCACATATTAGTGGCACTTGAAAAATACTCCACCTATCACGAGTTCATACAACAGTACCTACTCCAGGTGGGTAGAAAGTCAACCAAGTACATTGCATTATTGATTTTCCATCCGAATGCGTGAAGTCGTAGGCAGATTTGTAGGGAAATATCATGTGAAATGGTAGTTACCGATGATTCCTATAAAGAGTGCTGATGTTTTCTACTTCGGTCCAGTCTTCTCTGATAGGCATGATGCCGAAGGGAACTGTTGTTAATGGCCCACAACGAGCACTTCGCGATAACAGAATCAAGGGGAGTAAATGAATGTTCTTTGTCAAGAACTTTGAACCCAACTTCAATCTTATTCACTTTTTATTTCCACTGCATACAAGCCGTTTCAGAAGGATGTCTGAAATCAAAACAACTAGGCATATCAACCAACGTGGTAATCTGTTCTGCTGTGTAACTACCAAATGGCCAATAAGAATGAGTCAGCTAAGTAGACTGCAACTATTCAGCCTGCCAGTGGCGTTGATGTGCTGCCTGTTATTTGTGCAAGCCATATGTATCCAACTCTGAGTTAAAGTATACAGTGGTAGTTGACGTTAGGTAAATCGGGATAGTCGTAAGTAATAATAAGTAATGAGCTGCACCACACGTTAGATTACCGCATATCTCAACGTGTTATTCTTATTAGAATAGAGTATAAAAACCATAGAAGTTGTAAAGTAAGTTTGTGATATCATTCCCGAAAGCACTCACTTTTAGTCTGTAGTAAAGTGTAGACTTTCTGATTGAAGTTCGCAGGGCTCATTAGTTGGAGGCCCTAAGCAACACTGCTTAAATCGTATCGCATTTACTCTGTCATACACTCAATTTCGTTCTGCATTTTTGCATTTATTTATTTCTCGTCTTGTCGTACGTTTACTGTAGTTAGTTTTAATATTTGTTTTTAACGACTTTTAGATATTTTATTATCTTGGCGATAATAAATTTCGATTAGTTTGCTCACAAGATTCTTACAAAAAAGCAGTTACGCTGTTCCTTTTGTGTCTGATGCAACAAGCCTCATGGGTATTTGCTGTTCTGAATCATGTGGATAATATCTTTGTCTTTCACTGGGTTGCAAACAGTTCAACGTCTTTTCGTCTGAAGTTGGTGTTAGGATATGCATGGATGAGCTCGAAAAGCAGTTAAATTATTTTATTCACTTGTTTGTGCGTGGGGAAGAAAATGATACCATTTATTTACTGTACATGTTCCCAGTAAAGTTCAGTACAGACAAAATCAACACAGGTCCCTACATGCAAGTGCGTCGGTTCAAGCTACCACACTTCACAGTACTATACAAAAAAATAGGTGGATAGAATAAAAGTGATATCAAAGTAGACAAAGTTGTGTCAGAGAAAAGATATTTCAAGGATGAAAATTAGCCCAAATATTTAAGATTTAAAGGGCGTCAAGGAGTGAATACATCTGCGCCATTGTGACCGATTTTAAGCCATGTCACGAATAGTCATCAACCACTGATTCCTTTCATCTCGGGCACTCTAACCAGACAGTTTACATATCCCTTACAGCTCAGACCAACAGTCAAAGACTTCATTGAATGGGGCCATATCTTAATTTGGCCACCCTCAACCCTTTTACAACCTAATCCAACTTCTCCCAACATTGCACGTCGAGGTAGGCGGTGCATCGGTATGCACAGTACATGTCCAAGCTGCCTCAGTCAACCAACGTTCACAACCTCATCAATCGACTTGCCTGTCTTACCTAGTACCCTTTGTCCGACCTCAACATTGCTCACAAAATGATTCCACCAAAACACGAGCAATGTTACGAAAGCATCTATGATGAAAACCTTGTAACCGCTCTTTGTCTTCTATTTTTAACGCCCATGTTTCAGCTGTATAACAGGACAGAACGAACTGTGGCATAGTTTACTCGTTCAATGATAGATAGTCAGGTATCTCACCAGTGGGTGCCACAGGTGACTCAAGTTGGTAAATGCCATCTGTATCTGAGATTTCGTCAACAACCAACCCGTTCAGGCTCATGCAACTCCCCATGTAAATAAAGTCATTGACATATTCCACCACTTCACCACCTATCATTAAATTCGGAGTACTTGCAGCACACCAGTCCTGGTGTATCATCTTACATTTGACAGGTGACAGCGAAACTCATGCGAAACATTCTCAAATTTCTTCTAAACGCGTTCAAAACATTCTGCATTCTGTCATCATCTTAACCTAGCAGGATAATATCGTCTGGATACTTCAAGTCAACCAGCTGCCCTCCAGGGTGTATATCAAACTCTGTGATTTTAGATGCAACTTCAGTACACCTATTACGAACTTAAATAGGAACGGTCACAGCGGGCATCCTTGGGAGACACCACTAGTTGTCGTCAATTCTGATAACAACTCTTCACAAGACCTTGCACAGTTGCGTGTTTTCGAGTAGAGAGCTTTGATTAGCGTTATATGCTTGCTCAGTACTCTCCTCATAGTCAGGTGTTGACCTCACTGTCGAGAAAGTCAAATGCCGCCTTCAGGTCATGAAACATGGCGAGTGTCGGCCAGCGGTAAATATGTTTGTGTCCCAAAACCCTGTCGTAAAGTGGAAATCTAATCGATGCTTTCTCGCTCAGGTCTGAAACCTGCCTATGTTTCCCGAGTTCCAGTTGGGCGTTCAGTAGCTGTGGGCCTTGGGATCACGGACATGATATTAGTTGTTAAGCTGATTCCCTTATGATTGTCACAAGAGGATTTCTCTCCCTTCTTATAACCTGGGATGATCAGTAAAGTAAACCAGTCTGATGGGACTACCCCTGAATCCTATACACTATCTAGTACCTTCGTCACTCTGATGAACAGTTTCCTACCTCCATCCTGGAAAACTTCAGGTGACAAACTGTCTAGTTCTGCTGTTGGTTTTGCATCCCTTCAGGTTCGATAAGGCCTTCTCAACTTCAAAGATAGTTGGAGGACCGACATCTACGTCCCATTTATTTTCGGGATGGCTCGATGCTGGGCAGTTGAAGCGTTGATGTTAGTCAGTTGAATTGTACTGTTCTCAACATTCTAGCAGTTTGCTCAGAAACGTTATCAGTATACCATCTTTTTCGGTGATGGCTTCACTCACCATCGTCTTCTTCTTGCGGCTACCCTTAATGAACCTAAATAGTTACCAGGTGTTACCCTCCACCGATGCCGTCTCCATCTCTCTAACTCTGGCCACGCACTACAGCTCTCGATCATTGCAAAGACTTGGTCAATTTACGTTTAAGTTGCTTTCGCTCTTCATTGTAGTCAGAGCCAACTGGAATCAGTCGTCTCACATCAATCTGTTCGGATGAGGTTGCGGAAAACCAGTGACGCTTACTAACCTTCGGGTGTAGGTTGTCAACTGTCTTTACCGCTTTTTACGCAGCAGACTTAATATCACACTAGGTTTCCTCAAGATGAGCATTGCTGTCACGTTCAGATAAACGCTCAGCTAACTCCCCCCTAAGTACATATTTGGCGTTCTCGTCTTCCAATCGATCATAGACAGGCTTTATTTTCGCCTGTTTTCTGCGACCAGTAAGGCGCAGATATGCACTACCCCTTACCAGCTCGTGACCAAAGTCAAACTGGTACTCCAAAAAGAACGGTACTTCACCGATCCTCTCCAACTATGGCTTTTAACAATATAATCCACCTACGTACATCATTGGTTTGATTTCGAAAGACGCCATGTAAGATAGTTTCTCTCTTTATGCTTAAAGTTAGTACTAGTCAGAAACAAGCGATTGTCGAAACCTAATTGCGACAGACTACCACTTTTTTCGGTTTGTTGACATGTGATTCTATAAATACCCCCCAAAATGTCTCACCGATTAGCTCAGCTTCCCTACTTGTGCGTTAAAGTCACCTGCCATTATGACTACATCTGAACATTGTGTTTTCCGTAGCAAAGTTGACAACTCATAGAATTCATCTCTTGCATCATCCGAACTGGAGTCGGTGTGTGCGTAAGTGGAGATTACGACTAGGGATCAGTTGGTCTTACGGTTCTTTCTAGTCGTTACAGATCCATTCAGTTGAACAGCACACAAGCGGCTGTTGACTGGCATCAAGTCGAGAAGCTCATTTTCTACCCTACAGCTCAATGCTATTTCTACATCATCGAGTCCATGAGAGCTGGCCACTTGCATATCACAATGACCCAACGAGCTATGCTGGTGGAACGCTTGTTCCCTCGAGGTCCAACCATAGCAGAAAGGTCTGTTGGATGATAGTTAGACAAAAAGCAGTTACCACTGTGGTGTAAATTACTACACTATGATGGGGGTCTGAGGGCGAAGTCGTACTGCTGCTAGCTGGATGGGGTGTGACAGCAGTAAGGTGTTTCCCTTGGATGACCAGCAGTGCCATGCTGATGCTGCCTTCTCAGTGGAAGGGGGGGTTAGAAAAGGTCGGCCCCAAAAATAACACACTCCACCACGCCCCACGGTCTGCCGGGCCGGCGGTGTTGGTTCACTTGTCGTTTCCTTTCGACCATCCGGCCCCAAAAATACAAAAGTTCAAAATAATCATACTCAAAAGGCTGGGTGTGACAGGCCTCAAGCAGATGTCCGATGGGCTCTGCGGTCACACAAATCTCTTTCAGGTACCTTAAGAAGAAATAGCCTTCCACGGTGTGGGCAGCCGGGAAGTGTCAACCGCCCTCACAACTCTGTCAGCACCCAAGTTTCTTCTGACTGCTATCCTCCTCCTCCATCATTACCTTCTAATCTTCCTTCACGTCTCTTAATTAATGATGCTGCATCATCTTCAATTTCTCCTACCTCTGCAGCCTTCGACAACGATCTGAGTCCACAGAACAGCACTCCTGGTCTCCTTAAACCACGCTCCAAATTACATATTGGAGCCTTCAATGTCCGCACCCTCCGTCAAATTGGCCAACAGGCTTCGTTGGCAAAGACTCTAGCAACTCGGGCATGGATGTGTGCTGTGTTTGTGAGACACGCATACAGGACCCAAGTGTGGTTATTCACCTGACCTCTCCTGACCAATCTGGTGAATCTGCAAAATTCACCCTTCGAGTTTCTGGAGATTCGATAGCTAGCTCTCGTGGTCTTGCAGGTGTAGGTATAGCATTAAGCACCAGGGCAGAAAACTCACTACTAGACTGGATCCCAGTTGATAGTCGCCTCTGCGCTATGAGGCTGAACGGCACAGTGAGAACTAAAAGGAATAGTGAGACTCGCCGTTGTCTCTTTGTAATCTCTGCTTACGCACCCACTGACTGTAGTTCGGATGAAGTGAAGGACGAGTTCTACCATAAACTGTCTAACCTCCTCTCGAAAGCCAAACGTTCGGACGTAGTGGTTGTTGCAGGTGACCTCAACGCACAGGTGGGTAGACTGAGTGAGGCAGAAAGGCACTTAGGTGGCACTTTCGGAATCCCAGCTGAACGTACAGATAACGGTGATCGCCTATTACAACTATGCTCAGATAACCGCCTATTTTTAGCCAGCACAAATTTCAGACATAAAGAAAGGCACTGTCTGACCTGGCGTCCACCGAGCTCGACTCAGCGATGGACACAGATAGACCACATTGCTATTAGTCATCGCTGGAGAGGATCGGTGGAAGACTGCCGCTCCTTCTGGAGTACGTGTTTGGACAGCGATCATGCGTTGGTCCGAGCACGTATATGCCTGCGTCTCAATGGACGTAGAAAAAATTTGGCAACAAAACCACTACGAGTTCTGCTGGACAACGAAAACACCAAAGCCGTGTTCAGTGAGAAGTTGGCTAGGCAGTTATCGGAACAAAAGACTGTCACTCATCCAGAAGAAGCTTGGTGCCATCTTCAGTCTACTGTAAAAGCAGCACTGGAGACTGTAGCCGACTCCAAGATAATGGCTAAAAAGAGCCAGTGGATATCAGCAGCTTCTTCCAAACTAATGGATGCACGTGAATGCATCCCTGCAGGCTCTGAGTACAATGAAGAGCGAGCGCAACTTAAAAATAAACTGACGAAAAGTCTGCGCAACGATCGTGAACAGTGGTGGGCAGCAAAGGCTAAAGAGATGGAAAAGGCAGCGGCGATCGGTAACAGTAGACAGTTATTTAGACTTATTAAGGAGACTGGGGGGAAATGGTCAACAACAGTTAGTGAGGCTATAGCGGAGAAGGACGGATCTGCGATTCACTCGCAGGGAACGACTGGAACGATGGGCAGAACACTTCGAGGAACAGTTTAACTGGCCTCCAGCGACGGACAGTCGGACCCTGAATGGGACATAGAGACAGGCCCCCCAACACTAGAAGAAGTTGAGAAAGCGGTAGGTAGCCTGAAACGGGGAAGGGCAGCAGGACCAGACGGACTACCTGCTGAGGTATACAAGAATGGTGGTAGAGTGCTCTTAGTCAGGTTAACGGAAGTGTTAGCCAGTATATGGGAATCAAATACGATCCCCTCCGACTGGTCTAAGTCACTGATCATCCCAGTCTTCAAGAAAGGCGAGAAGTCTTGTGATAACCATAGAGGAATCAGCCTGATGAACATAGTATTCAAGATCCTAGGTTCTATAATTCTCCGACGCCTGAGTGGAGCTCGGGAACAGCAAGCCCGAGAAAACCAGGCAGGCTTTAGACCTGGCCGTGGGTGTATCGACCAAATATTCACACTGCGCCAGGTCCTGGAACATAGGCATGCTTACAGACGCCCGACAATAGCTGTATTTCTCGACTTGAAGGCGGCATTTGACTCCGTTGATCGAGAAGTCTTATGGCAATGTCTGTCACTGAAAGGCGTGCCTAGTAAGTACATCACTTATTGAAAGCTCTCTACTCGAACACTTGTGGGTGTGCTACAGCCTATAGTGAGATGTCCGGGCAGCAGTGCTCATCGAGTGGTGTTAGTCAAGGTTGCCTACTGTCTCCATTCTTATTCAATTTCATCGTAGATATTCTTATGGAGGTCTCCTTCTCGTCACCTGACTACACAGACTTCAACCTAATCACAGCAGAGTTTTCGTTAGACCTAGAATACGCAGATGACACAGTCCTGTTAGGTGAAGACGCTGAGAAGATGCAGTCTTCTGAACACTTTGAGTGGGAATTTGAGAATGTTTGGAATGCGTTTCTCACCACCCAAACGCAAACTGTTGCTCCAGAACTGGTCTTCAACGGTACCGCGGCTACCAATAGAGAGTGAAGTGGTTGAATGTGTTGACCACTTCACTTACCTGGGAAGTAGGATCAGCCCTGGTCTCTCAGTGACCGACGACATTTCTGCACGAATACAAAAGGCTCGGCTGGCTTTTGCCAACTTACGCCACCTATGGCGCCGCCGTGATATCTGATTGTCTATTAAGGGTCGCGTGTATTGCACCTGCACAGCAGTCCAGTCTGTTCTACTGCATGGCTGTAAAACATGGCTATTGAAGATGGAAGACATATGAAGGCTCCGGGTGTTTGACCACCGTTACCTTCAAAGTATAGGCCGTATTCCGTGGTGTCACCACGTGAGTAATGTAGAAGTCGGGAGTAGAGTTTCAGGGAGTAGTGGTAAATCAGTTGACACGGTTGTGAACCTTCATCGACTAAGATGGTTGAGACACGTATAACGCATGCCTAGTTGCCGTCTTCCTCATCACACAATGTTGGCTGAAGTAGGCTCAGACTGGAAAAAGGCCCGAGGTGGCCAGACTAAGACATGGCATCAATGTATGAAGTCTCTGGCTGTTAGTTTGAGCCATGTAGGGCGATGCAGACTAGGTGGTTGGGATCCGCGGGACAAGAGGAACCAGTGGTTGGAGACTCTAGGTGATCACATGGCTCAGAACCGATGTCAGTGGCGCAGGTGTATACACATGTTATCCTCATCTTAACGACGCTATACCAAATCTCACCATTTCCTCATTCTTCCTCTCTTTTTTTTCGTACCTTATATTTCTTTTGACTAAATTTTTTTATCTTCATCCTTCACCTCACTACCTTTCTACTTGATGTACTGATATGAGGTGTGGCAACTCAGACCGCTACGCAGTAATTTTTGGTCCTGTATTGGTGATGATGATGATTAGATAGGTATTTCTTCTCGCTTGTAGCGATAATGGAAATAGTATGTCAATGGAATAATGGCTTATTGACTACGAATTATATACTGCCTTCCTGTAAAGATTTATTTCAGGCTTTTGGTAGCAAGAAAAATATTTATGAACGAAATGACCGGTCTTTCCACTGAGCCTGCTTTCGAACTCAGCTTGTATCGTTCGGATGTTTACTCTGTGTCACGGCTTGTCCTCAATGTATGCATCACAACTGATTGATTGAAACTGTATATGTAATCCACTTAGGCTTTCATAGGTTTTAAATTACTAAGTCATCAGATTTTTTTATGTTATTTCAGTAACTCGTCAGGAGAGGTAATTTGCTATGAAGTTTGTATATTTCTAGATTTTAGAATGTTTAGTTCATTGGAATTTTATTTATCTTGTGCGTATTCATAAGAACTGAGTTTATCGCCCTCTGTATCTACTTTCATATAAACATTTGTAATAGGATCTTTCTGTAGTTTGGCTTTTCTATTTCAGAAATTCGAAGTTGTGAACCTGAAATGCGGTGGATTCCTCTTGAAGCCAATCCAAAGGTATGCTTTTAATAAGTGAACAACTTTGTATCAATATTACTATTTAGGTGATGAATGAGGTACAAATCATTTCTCAGTTTCATTCAGCTCCTCTTTAATGCTGCAGTACATGAATAATCTTGGAGTTGTTGAAGGATTATGGAAATTTGTGGATGTATTTAGTCTGGATGATGATATGCTTGCATTTATACCGGAACCAGTGATAAGCCTGTTGTTCTTATATCCCCTAGAAACACCCATTGAAAACGCCTCTCTAGGGGTTGAGGACAATTCATCAAAAGTTATTTTAATCAAACAAACAGTAGGTAATGCCTGTGGAACTATAGCTATATTAAATGCTATAGCTAATAATCGACAAAATCTCAGTATCAAAGGTAAGTTTTAATCATTTTAAGTGTACAATATCTACTTTTCGATGTCTAGATTTCAGCAATAATGTATGTTTATTTGTCTATCCATGTCATAATATGTTATGCTTGGTCACTACATTACGCATTAAGTCCAACTGCTTATGAGCACAAAAACTGAAGCCACTGTTCTTTGCATGTATGGTAAAAGTTAGCCGTATCACGCACTTTAAATAGGAAGTCTATGATCTATACAAAGATTAAGATATAAAGCGATTTTTTTAAAACATGAGATACATTATAGAAAGCTTAACAAAATATTCTGTTGGGTTATTTTGCTTAACTACTCGGAAGTAGCAATAAGTCTGGTAATTTTAGAACTGCTGTAGCTTACGAATCCATTTTGATCATTTAAAATAACGAACAAACTTTAAAATCGAATCCTATTTATTCTTTAAAAACCTAATCTCCGAAAGCGCACAATCACTGTAGTGAATGCTATTCTGGGGCTCACTTTCTATTCAACTTCATATGGTCAAGTTCTGGGTTGATTGTATTAGCGTTTATCCAGAATTTGTAAAAATTTCAACAAATGGTTGTGTCACCTTGGGCATGCAATCAGTCAGTTATTGTACCCATTTTCAGGTTTAAGGAGTGGGACTAAAAGAATATAAAAGGTAATTAACTCAATACATCAGTTCTTGGCCTGCGGTGTAAAGCAGAAGCTTCCTAGAAATATAGTAAGGAGTAAATTTTGAACCAAATAAAGAATTATTGGCGCTCACAGAGGTATGCATTTTGCATGCGAGATGGTAGCTTGCGATATAAGCCTGCTTTCAAGACTGAGCTATCTTCTTTAAGTATCAGAAAAATGAAATTGATCACTGAATAAACTTAAAGTGAAAACTGAATATTCAGATCATAAACAGAGAGAAAAATCTTCATATCAATGAAGATTAACAAACTTGTTGTTGCTTAAACTTTTAATGTTGCTCATTGGTTCAAATACTCGACATTCAAGTAGAGGATCCAGGAATCACGCTCTGTCCTACCTAATCCAGTCTGGGAAAACAGATGGTGTCATAAGCGCTCACCCATTAAGTGTGACTCATGGCGTGATCGAAAACCTGTAGCTGTTTGTGTTGTCTTTTAAAATAGGAAACTTTCCGGAAAGTTTCGTATGCTAGTAAAAAGCAAGCGAACCGGTGCCTTATGTTATAAACTGTTTCTAGCCTTTCAAATTCCTTTGTCATGCGTGTAAATAAACTTAAGTGATGGTTTTTTTCTTGGGTTAATTAATGAGATTATCTTAGATAGCTCTGGTATGGTAAGCTGGTGTCGTTGGTACTAGGTGATGGTTAAGGTTAAAATGAAAACCTGGGTCGTCGCAACATTAGAATCCGTCTGTCTTCGGGTAACGGTTTTACTCCCCCACCAACTAAGCTACGAGACCAAGCTAGTGACCAGGTCTTACCTTCACCTCAACTATCGAGGGTTCTGGCCAACTATTATATAAATCTATAGTACGGAAACTTCCAGTCATTGTTATTATACCGTTTGTCCAACCAGATGCTATCGTTCCAATCCAAATCGATCCGTTTTAGTGAAAGACAATCGTATTTACTACTAGTGAGACTATTTAAGTTAGCCATGCTTTGGCAGACCGGTGTTGTTAATCGTGGGCGAAATCAAGACCTGGTTAGCACCTGAGTCTCTTAGGTCACTTGGTATATCACCAGACCGATAGCCTGGAGGTTTCTGGTTTGAATCCTTCTTTGAGCTAGGTTTTCACTTCACCTCTTATCATCACACTGTTAATATTTCAATTTAATTTGAAAATCGCTAAACTTTTCTTGGTACTCGCTTTTTGACTAAGGAATTCGACTAAATAGCCTACGTTTTGCAATATCATTCAGTTAGTAACGTGAGATCTAACAATAGCTTGTGATGGTCTATGTTGCTACACCTCACATCAACACGTCTAGGAAGAATACACCAAGATCAAATGTAGAGAAATAAGGGAAAGATGATCAAGAGTAGTGGAAATTCATGAAAAGAGGACAAGGAGGAATGAAACAATACTGAGATTCGGTTTGACGATCAAAATGAAGATAATGTATGGATGCAGCTGCACCATTAACATCGATTCCAAGCAGTATCTCCTAGTTTCAAACTAACAATTTCGGTTCCCACACAGACTTCAACCTGGAAGTCTACATTGCCCTAAACTACTCAGATCAACATTCAAAGACTTAACGGACTGGCGCTATTTTATAGTTTAGTCATCTTAAGCACTTCTCCAGCCTAAAACTACTTCAGCTAACACTGTGCAGTGGAGCACCGGCGTTGGCGAAGGTTCACATTTTCATCAACTGGATTTCTTGTTCTGCCTAAAACTGTACGCCTGATATCTGTTACTCACGTGGTGATACCCTGATACATGGCCTATACTACAAAGGCAGCTATGTTCCAACCTGCCTGGCTTTCGCGGGTTTACTGTTCTAGAGCTTCGTTTGCGTTTTTAGTAACTCACATAAACCTAGAATTTTTTGGGGCCAATTTCGTTAGACTGATTCCCCCTTCGGTCATCATAGAATGATTTCTCTGTTTTTTATAGACTTGAAAAATCAGTGATTGAGACTAGTCAGAGAGAGGATCATATCCGATCGTCGGTGATTATCTTTATCTCTGCTGCTAACCCACCTGGCTTCGCTCCCGTTCCTCGTTTTGGATTACTTAAAGCCTTCTCAACTTTTGCAAGAGTCAGAGGACCTGTCTTAGTATTCTGTTCAGGATCCGACGGGATAGTGGGTGGCTAAAGACTAGCTAGGGCACAGTTGAACTGTTTCTTGAAGTATATTGCCCATAGTTTCAGTCATTTCCTCTGCAAGCCAACCGGAGATCCATCTCTCTCCACTACGGTCCCACTAACGGTTACAAGTTTGCTTCCGTTTCCTTGACCAATCTAAATAACGGTCTACTGTTTCTTGTGGCTTCTGTTTTTTTCATCTCTTTAACCGACGCTGCAAATCAATGCTCACAGCTACTGCGTAGACTTTTCGTAAGTTTATATTTCAGTTGTGTCCGTTCTCTATTGTGCCAGCAGAAATGTGTTTACTGCATCCATAAACTTAGAAGGAGCTACTGAAATCCACTGATCCTCTTGAACCTTTTTCTGAGGGTTATTTACGGTCTTTTTTCACAGTATACTTAGGGTGACACCAAGCTTTTTCCTGACGAGTGAAATTGTCTTGTTTCGATAATTATCTGATTATTCCGCTCTTAAAAACAGCATTAGCATTGGCAATAGCCCTCACTCGGGGCGGTGTGCTCAAACCAACGAATTATCACCTTCCAAAGACGTGGTGCCGAAGGAACAATAATCTTTCCACCGACTCTCCCCAGAGATAACTCATAGCAATATGGTCAATCTGTGTTCACTGTAGAGTTGAGGTCGGTGGATCCCATGTCAGACGATGTTTTTCTTTGTCTGAAGTTTTTGCTGATCGTAAATGAATAGTTTTCCGAGTACAGTTGTAGCAGGTGACCACCATTATCCGTTCGTGTGTCTAGGATTCCGAAGGCACCACCTAAGCGCTTTCCTGCCCAGCTTAGCCTTCTTAATTGTGTATTGAAATCATCTGCCAAGACAACCACGTCTGAACATTTGCGTTTCAATAGGAGGCTAGACAGCTTACGGTGGAGTTCATCCTTCATTTCATCTGAACTGGAGTCACTGGGTGCGTTAGCTGAGATTGCAAAGAGATAAAGGTGAGTTTCACTACTTCCTAGTCCTAACTGCACCGTTCAGTAAAAAAGCGCGCAGGCGACTCAGATGGGGTCCACTTGTGTGTCTCAGCATTGGATTCTCCATCTTCACTCTCAAGGTTGCAAAAATTAGCATAGGAATCTCCAGAAACTCGATGACAGAATTTTACAGCTCCACCATGTTGAGAGGGTGAGGTTAACTGAGTAACCGCGCTTGGGTCCTGCATATGTGGCTTACTAATACAGCACTCGACTTTGGATGTGGGGAGCTGCGGGTTACTGGTCTAGGCAGTTAACTAGTAACAACCAAGTGGGTCAGCGGTTCTAATGCTGCTCCGCCTATTGGGGTGTGGGTGGCCAGATAGTATTATTAGCCCTCATAAAATAGATAGGAATCATTGGTTGCTTCAAGAAAGTGCACATGGTCACTAAGTGCAATTAGATTTATTTTTTGACATGTCCATGGTCCGAGATGTCAGAGTTTTGACTAGCAAAGCTCATTTGCAGGTTTGACGGAGGCAGTGGACATTAAGGGCTTTGATATGTAGTCGACAGCATTTTTTCAGGGGATCAAAAATACCGTCCCATGAACTCAAGTCTTTACCAAGGACTACAGATCTAGAAAAAATTGAAGATAATGTAGGAATACTGACAGAAAAACATGGTAAAAAGTGAAAAGGCGAAGATGTAGAAAATTCACGATGATCTCAGGAAAAATGAATGCTGGCAGGATTGTGTCAAATTGTTTGCTACCATCTGTGGATTTCTTATAAAAGTAGTGATCACTTTTTTGTACTGGTCAATACCGCATTGTATGTTACATGTATGAATTTTGCCGTGGAATCGATATTTGGGTATTATAAATCGACATGTACACCAAATATTCACCTTTCTGATAACTTTCACCAGACTGAGTATTCATACAATAACTTTTGTGCGTAGATTTTCTTTAGTTTAAATAGTGTGTAAATTCCAATTTAGAGTAAGGATATTCGATGACTCAAATCGGTGAATATAGATTTCATACAACATATATCAATATTTTTGTTGTTAGAGTGGATTCTTTTTCTCAACTGTATTTCTTTGCTGACATCTTCCCTTTAAACTAATATGCTGTTAAGAGTTATAACATCGAAAATTGACACAAGCTATAGTTTAATTGAGGAAAGACATCTTGTTTGTATTAACTAGTTTTAATTATGGTATTTAATATTGTTTTCCAGACGGTTCGTTTTTAAGCAACTCTTTAGATAGATTCGAAGATATGACGCCTGCTGAACGTGGTGCTGTTGTGGAAACTAAAGTAATTTATGCATCATCATCGATATTTAACCTATTTTCTTGTAGAAGGATCTTTCTGTACTACATGAAAAATCAGCTTTAGAAGGACAGACAAATGTTTGTTCGTTTGTTTAGGATTTTTTGAAAATACTTTGTTTTAATTAGGCACCTATCGCGGAATCAAAAACAAACTTGCATTTTGTGTGTTTTGTCGAACATGGGGACTGTTTGTACGAACTAGGTAAGCATTACTTTTAGTTTGAACCTCATGGTGTGATATACCTGCTACCACATAGTGTTTTGATTCAGTTATGATCGCTGTATGTAGTAAACAAACTATTTTAGTAGGCAATTACGTATGTATTCATGTACTGAATTATTGGCCAACTTCTATTATGAGGGCTAAGGATGATATTTGGCTTTCTATGAGAAATGTATAAAATGAATTTTCTATCCCTGAATCTTTGTTGCATATCCTGTACCATTCATCTTTGAATCTACGGGACTAATAATAACTGGCATGCTAAACACTAGTTCCAATTCCATGTTAAATTTGCTTATTTGATGACGTTTCGAGCATTAATTATTCTGCATAATCACATCACCACCACTATCATCGCGAACTTGAGTAAACCTTATACTTCCATGTCTGACGTCTCACTTCCAGTTACCACACTCCTACTAATAACATTACTGTTTCCATAATCTGTCCTATAATCTTACATGCTCATTCTCTCCCCTCCGACTCCATGATCTCGCTCTGTTTATTAAGATTCTTCCTGTCAATATTATCTCCTCCTAAATTTACCCAGGTTTCTCAACTACTTTCGTTCTGCTCCTTTTCAACTTGTTTTTTCCCTTCTTCTTCCTCGTTTTCGCTGGACATCTGTTCATCCTTTCTTTCTTCCTTTTACAACTATTTCGAACAACTGTCTGACGACACGATACTTGAAGAATCTATCTGCACCACATTACTTGGAAAAATCATACGGTCTCTACACATATGATCAGTACCCAGCCACCCGTCGAGCTAACCAGAGCTATAGCAAATGAGTGGGTAGACCCACTCCATTGGATTCCACTAAAGACCTGGAACCATTCCGCAAGACACAGGAGTGAGCGGTTTACACTAGCTTGTAAAAGGAAATTGAGTGCATTGAAGCTTTGCATATATATATACTCTGTAGCCTTTTATGAACTTCAAGGAATATCTGTTTCCCAGTAGTGTTTCAGTCAACATTTTGTTCTCTTCATCCATCATGTCTTCAGAACAGTTATATCCGGTCCTCTTAGATAGACATTCTATCAGTGATCGCTAGTATTTTGTTCGAAAAACTGTCATACAAACTTGAGTACTTCAATATTTAATTCTTTATTTGATGCAGCACATGGTGATTCAGTATCATTTATTGGATGAACCTCCCAGCAACATTTACTGCACATACTCATAACGAAGTAATCACACAACTTTCTATCTTCGTTTCTACATTCAATAACACTTCATCGTTTCCTTTAAACGGTAGTGGAATTCGCCTAGTGTCTGCTGTGTATCGAATTATTCCTATTTTTTGTGTTAGGTGTTGGATAAACACGGAACAATTTCTTGGTTGTATTGCGTTCTCTCAGCTGAGTGGTTTAATCGTGAAGCTTTCATTGCCTTCCTAGACAACATCATCAACACTAATGTAAGAGTAAGACTTGGGCACTGTGGTACAGTGTAATTCCATATTAGATTGTTTATTTGATATAGCACACAGTGATGCAGTATCAATTACTGGATGTTTTGAGCAAAATGTTTTTCTCGTTCATTTCAAGGTGATATAAATTTGATATAAATATAAGCAATAAATTCTGCTCAAAACGTCATCATGTAAATAATACTACATCCCTGTTTGCTTTATCAAATAAGCAATCTAATATGGAATCATCAGCACCAGCTTCAACATGAAGTGAGTCATCAGTAGCTTGCCTTGACAAAGTGGTCTTAATTGGTAGTTTCGTATGATTTTTGTGTTATTGACTTCATGGTTTTTTCTGTTGGTTGTTTCTCTGCCTTACTTCTGACCTTGTAGTTGTTTGTCGTTGTCCTTATTTGTTGGTAAATAATAATAATCCTGGAAAATGATAAACCACAAGGTCAGAGGTGAAGCAAAAAAGCAGCCAACAGAAAAACCTATGTAGACAATGGCACCAAGGTCACACGAAGCTACCAATCAGAAGCCACTCCGCCAAGGCAAGCTACTGAATTAATCATACAGAAATCCTGATAGTTCACTTCATATTGAAGTTACTGCTGATGATGTTGTGTAGAAAGACAATGAGAGCTTTGCGATTAAACCACCCAGCTGAAAGAATGCAACACAACCAAGACCATCCACCTCAGCTACATATATTCTCCAATACTTCATAATCAATCTCTCCTTTAATTCAGCTATACTTGGTTTTAGAACTGTTATCCTTTCCAGCCTCATAGTATGATTTGGCATGACTAGTAATGGGGGAATATTTTTCTAAATTATTTATCTTTACAAGATCTGTCATTCTGTCTCGTCAAATTTCTAAGCTCTTCTATCCTGACTAACTGCGGTCAGCTACTTTGACCGGTGTACATGATCTCACAACCATTACACGATATTTGATAAATTGCGTTATTTCGATCAATTGAGCCTACCAGATCTTTAGCTTACAAAGTTTCTCTTTCAATGAGTCCTAACTATCTGTAAATATGTCTACCCCTATCAGGGATGTTAGACATCCCACCGAGCAGCCATATGTTTATAGTCTTCGAATTTGAATACTGTAGCATAATTCTTTTACTCGAAACCCTAGTAATATTGCTGAGTTCGTGGTCAATGGTTATTTCATTTCTGACTGCGTCATGTACCGAGTGTATTGCTCACATCAAAACTGACTATTTCTCTCCCTCATCTCATTGTATATTATCCAGTCTCTGTTTCAAACCAAAGAGATTCGTTAACCTAAACCTTGATCGATTTCTGATAGGACATTATATAGTAGTTAAATATTCAGATAGCACTTATGTTGGTGTACTTCTGTCGGCCTGATAAGGTAACCTGGTTTATGAATCCTAATGGTTACCATTCATTCCACTTGGATAACTGTTATATTTTCGTGCGCCAGCGGATATATATTCCGAACGAATATAATACGCACGCTTAGCTGACAGCTAACTTAGTACTTAAACCATCGACTTTCATATAGTTTACGGGTTCGAACTCTGCTCTAGATGCTTAGATTTGGTTACGCAGATAGTAATATTAGGCGTCACCCACTTCGTGTGGCTTGTTGCCTCATATGTGAACACGCTAGTAATTTTAGCTTGTTATTGCGAATATACTTCCCTTATTATCTCAGGTTTATCATAACCTAATATTTAGTTTGCTCGTTATCATAGATAAGAGATTAGATAAAATTGTTTGACTATTCCGTTCGAAAATTCATATTCTAAGACAATATGAATTCATGTATTATAAAATTAAAACTGAATCGGTATGTGTCCAACTTTACTGATTTTTAGAAAATTCGCTCTTTTTTTAGTCGAAATCATCCGCTCAAATACATGTTTTTCTGTGATAGTGAACCTGTATGAAAATATGAAAATAGTTTTAAAATAGTGTCAGTCTGCGACTCATTGATCGAATCCTGCTCCATCGACCAAGGTCTGAACTACCAGGTAATACTATTGGATCTGGCACAAACAGGCACATAGTTACTGTGTTCATTTCGATTTCGACAACAATATACACTAGATGAAGCATAGTATATATTCACTAAAAATGTGATATGACTTCTTCATATTACTGTTTAAAGCCGCTGTAGGTTTTATATATTACCTTGAGAATTCGTTTTTACAAGATTGTAAACAGTAAAAATATCCATTTTATTTCATGATCCCATTTTTTATAATAGTCTATAGACCTGTGATTCTTTTTCTTACTTGATTCAATCTCTTTTACAGTAGAAAATTAAAACGAATAAAGCTTGTTTATTGCTTTTCAAATTCCCCTATAATTGTATAAACTACCTTAGTATACGGTCTATCTTCCGCAGTTTTCCAATTAGGAAAAGGTGGAATATATTCTAGTCCGTTACTTACCTCTTGTCAGTTGGCATTTTTAACAAGCTTGTACGACAGATTCCTTAAATTCGTCGTATATCTATCTCGCTTCACTACTTCATTGTATCGCAACTTATAGGTTTAGAAAGTCCCTATCCTTTTATTATCGCATGTTGAATAAGTGTGTAAATTTTGCAAAAACAAGTGTCGGGGTAACAGGTGGCCGAAACATGCTGCAAACCTATAAATTCACTAACTGTTGGTCTAGGTCCTGTAGAACAACGTAGGCTACCAAACAGAATCCTTAAGACCTTAAAAATCACTAGTTGGAGACGCTTCATGAAATCAGTCACAACAATACAAATGTATTCAGCACATTGAAAATTCCCATTTAAACATTTGAAATAAAATAAAAACTGAGGGAAGAAATAGTTCTTTTCAATTTCAGACTTCAGACCTGGATGAGGGTGCATCGATGACAGAGGTTTTGGTACACAAGCATATTCATCGCCCGCCAACATTTGCCATATTTCCTAACCTGAAGGCGGCATTCGACTCTATCGACCATGGAGTGTTATAGCAGAGTACTAAGCAAGCATATAACGCTAATCAAAGCTCTCTACTCGAAAACACGCAACTGTGTAAGGTCTTGTGAAGAGTTGTTATCAGAATTGACGACAACTAGTGGTGTCTCCCAAGGATGCCCGCTGTGACCGTTCCTATTTAAGTTCGTAATAGGTGTACTGAAGTTGCATCTAAAATCACAGAGTTTGATATACACCCTGGAGGGCAGCTGGTTGACTTGAAGTATCCAGACGATATTATCCTGCTAGGTTAAGATGATGACAGAATGCAGAATGTTTTGAACGCGTTTAGAAGAAATTTGAGAATGTTTCGCATGAGTTTCGCTGTCACCTGTCAAATGTAAGATGATACACCAGGACTGGTGTGCTGCAAGTACTCCGAATTTAATGATAGGTGGTGAAGTGGTGGAATATGTCAATGACTTTATTTACATGGGGAGTTGCATGAGCCTGAACGGGTTGGTTGTTGACGAAACCTCAGATACAGATGGCATTTACCAACTTGAGTCACCTGTGGCACCCACTGGTGAGATACCTGACTATCTATCATTGAACGAGTAAACTATGCCACAGTTCGTT